GACAAGTGCTCCGGTGTCCACGCGAGCGAGGTCGAGCGGGTGTGGCCGCGGTGGTGCGAGCGTGAGTGCGGCTGGTGATGATGAGGCAGGTGGTGGCGTGAATGGTAGGACGCGGGGCGCTGGCGAGATGCTGCTGCTGATGACGACGATGATGGCGCGCGCGGTGCCATGCGGATGGGGGAGGTGGCGCGGCTGCGTGCAAAGCTGCGAATCGGTGACAGCGACAGCGTTGGTGACGAGGCCTCGCTGTGGCTCGTCAGCCCATATCGAAGCGGCGATGCGCGCAGCGAGGGGCGGTGCGATGTTCGCAGGGGCGCCGTCGGTGTCGTCGTGGCATCTGATGTGGTGCTTGCCTGCATCGAGGGAACAGCCACCGCATTGCTCTCTGTTGGCGTCGCGAGTGTGTCTGCCCGCTCTTGTGCCGTGGCATCATGGGTGGTGCCGTGGGCGTCATCGTCACCATCACGATGATGGTGAGGATGAGGACGAGGACGAACGGGAGAGGGGTCGCCTTGCTCCTCGGGCGTGGACGACGCAGAGGTGGTTGTTGCGGTTGTGTGAGAGGTGGCTGTTGACGTTGTCGTGGTACTCGTGTCGTTACGAGCACGCCCTTGCCCCGATATGGGCTGTGACACATGCGCAGCCTTGGACTTCTGCTGCTGCTGCTGTTCTTGCTTGTGCTGTTCTTGCTTGTGCTGTTCTTGCTTGTGCTGCTGTGGTTGGTGTTGTTGCTGTTGCTTGTGCTGCTGTGGTTGGTGTTGTTGCAGGTGCTTGTGTTGTACCTCCTGCACCTCCTCCTGCTCCTGTTGGTGTGCTTGTTGTTCATGCTCATGTTGATACTCCGGGTTGGCAACGTCGCCTTGGACATGCTGACACGGCGGCTGCTTGCCCCGATCAACGGCGTCAACGTCGTGGCCGTCCTCGGGCACGTTGGGGAGGGCCGGTTCCTGCTGTGGATATGACGGCGTATGCGGGTAGGCGTCATGGTGTGGGCCGCAGAGCGCACAGGGCAGATAGAGGGCGAAGGTGCTGTGTGGCGGCGGTGTGTCTTCGGATGTGTCGAAGAGGTGGTCGAAGCTGCTTGACGGCATACCCGGCTTGTTGGCCTCCATCGTCTGGATTACAGCCTCCGATAACCGGAAGTGCAAGTTCTCTCGGTCCAGGTCATCGTTGATGAACCGCACGCGGTGGCCGTCCGCTTCCTCATCCGGCACATCCAGCACGTTCTCTATGGGTGTGTGGATGCGTGGGGGGGCATTGCATGTGTGTGTGTGTGTGTGTATGTGTATGTGTGTGTGTGTATGTGTGTGTGTGTGATTGGTTGACGCTGGCATACGTGCAACGAAGATGCAGGTTGTGTGTCTATGATACTTGTGGAGCACAAGCAGAGGCGCGGTACGAGAGAGGGTGTGTGTTTGCTTTGCAAGCGCGCTGCTGACACACACACACACACACACACACGCACGCACACACGCACGCACGCACGCACGCACGCACGCACGCACGCACACACACACACAAGCATAAGCGTGCAGATGAAGTTCAACGCACAACCAACGCAAAAGCAAGCAAGCGAGCAAGCGCTCTCACCGATGCCATGCTGCGAGTGCTGCTGGCTCAGCACAACGTCCATTCCGCGATCCAATCAATGCAAGGGTGTGTATGTGTGTGTGTGTGTGTGTGTGTGTGTGTGTGTGTGTGTGTGTGTGTGTGTGTGTGTGTGTGTGTGTGTGTGTGTGTGTGTGTGTGTGTGTGTGTGTGTGTGTGTGGGGTGGATGCTGCGCGTTGACGGTGATGATGTGTTTCGTTTTTCTCCTCCTCCTCCTCCTCTTGTTGTTTTCCTTCTGTTTGTTTCGTTCGCGCCACAGTCACCATTCATTGCTTGAGATGCACAGTGATGTGACAAGTACATCACGCGCACACACACAGGCACACACACACAGAGACAAACAGACACACACACAGACACACAGAGACATGCCTCACTCCAACTGTTGTATTCTTGGCTTGTGACTTGTTCGTGCACCATCCCCACCAGCCTCGCTACCAGCAGTATCACCACCCTCACCATTATGATCACCATCACCATCACCATCATCGTCGTCGTCGTGCCCCGCTTGCATCCCGCCAAGGCCACTGCCATCACTGCCGCTGCCCCCGAGCACACCACTGGATATGAGCGAGGCCAGCAGCGCCGACGCAAGCTGCTGTCGGTGCATGTCCTCACTCATCTCCCCATGCACCCGCTCCACACCATCATCGCCCATCCCCACGCGGGGTTGCTGTGGTTGCTGTTGTTCTAGTGCTTGCTGGTGTTGTTGTTCGCTGTCGCTGGCGTTGACGGCGGTGATCTTCGCGTTCCCACCATTTGTCTGGCTGCTGCTGCCTTTCTTCTTCTCCTCAAACAGCCCACAGAGCAGCGTCTGGAGAGGAGTGGAAGGTTGGGGGGGGGTGGTGGTGGAGGTACAGAATAGAAGGGAGAAGGATTGGTGCACGAAGCAACATTGGATGTGAGTTGAGTCTGAGCGATGGACGAGGAACACTAGCAAGCAGAAAAAACAAGTGCAAACGCCACACGCACACATCCACAAAGTGCGCGCACAAACCACGCACAAGTGCACGCACAAGCACAAGTGCGCGCACACATAACCACAATAAACACAAACGCACGCACACACAAGCGCACATCACACACAAGCGCACACGCACACACACGCACGCATAAACACGCACGCATAAACACACACACACACACCATTTCCACGTGCCGCCCGTCTTCATCTTCTTCCTTTGAGTTGTTGTCATCGCCGCTATCCATATCATTCGTCTGGTCTGCCGCGACGTCGTTGGCGCTTGAAGACGCCTGCTGTGTGCTCTGCTGCGCCTGCGCTTTCGGCTTGACTGCGCTGACTCGAGGTGCCTTTCCCTCACTCTGCTTCATGTGCTTTTTGTGCTGACCGTCTGTGCTGCTTGTGCCTTGCCCATCTTCATCGGCGGTGTCCATTACGGCGTGTTGTGCATCATCGTCGCCGTCATCACTGCCATTACCTCCGTGGCTGCTGTCGTTGTTGTCATTCTTTCCGGCATCGGCGTCGTCACCTTCTTCGTCGCTGCTCTCCGCATAGTAGTCCAGGCCCGTGTGCACGTCAGGGAGTGTTTCAATCTCCACGCAGGGTGCAACTTGGGTTGGCAGCGATGCGTTTGCGCGCTGAAGCTCCGGCAAGAACGCACGCACCCTCGACAACACTGTCCGATGTGATTGAGCGAACCGCAGCGACAGTCAACCAGCGACAAGGACATTACATCGTGCATATGTGTGTGTGCAAGTGTGTGTGTGTGTGCGTGTGTGTGTGTGTTGTGTGTGTGTGTGTGTGTGTGTGTGTGTGTGTGTGTGTGTGTGTGTGCGTGCGTGTGTGTGTGTGTGTACGCACATTTGTTGCACCCACTCACACACACGCACACGCACACACACGTATTGATCACAAGCACAACGGGGCAAACACAAACAACACTGCTTACCGTCGCTTGGTTGAGTGGTATCCTTCTTCCATTCACTGGAGAGGAACATGCGTCGGAACGCCTCCTGTGCGGGCGCAGCATCGCGATCGCCGCCGCTGGTATCATCGTCCCCCATGCTCGCGCTTGCTTGTGCTTCACTTGTGGTGATGGTCGCGTGCGATAGCAAACGTGCGCGCGGTTGGTTGGCTTGTTGGGCGATTTCAAAACGACACGATAAATTGGAGTGACGTATGCATGACCGCGGTTTCCAGAAGATTCTGGAAGTCTTTCACTGGATTTCGCGGCCACTGTCACCACAACGCAAGCAAGCAAGCAAGCGACCACCACTGCGCAACGCACTCGCCGCACCCCACACATTCATCCATTCACCTGCAACCAGCACACACACACACACACACAGCACACAGCACACACACAAGTACACACCACGCCAAGAACGATGTTGGCTGTTGCGCGGGTTCGCCCGCAGCACACGCTGCGCTGGCCGGTCTTGACGATACAGCGAACGCTCACACGCGCCGCTGCACGACGTCAAGCTGTGACGCAGAAGATGAAGATGCCTGCCACCACATCCCTGCTGCCACGCACTTCCCTGGGCCACCTGCGGTTCACACTGGGTGCCACCCGCATTGCTTCGTCTTCCTTTCATACCGCCAGCCGCCTCGCCATCGCACAACCGGGCCAGACCTGGGTCAACCCCGCCGCGCAACCAGAGGTCCGTTAATATGATTGTGTCTGTGTGAGGGTATGTGTGTGTGTGTGTGTGTCTGAGGGTGTGTGTGTGTGTGTGTGGCTGTCTGTGTATCTGTGTGTGTGTGTCTGAGGGTGTGTGCGCGCGCGCGTGTGTGTGTGTGTGCGCGCGTGTGTGTGTGTGAGTGAGCGTGTGTTTGTCTGCCTGCCTGCCTGTCTGCCTGCCTGCCTGCCTGCCTGCCCGTTTGCCTGTCTCTTGATGTCGGCGTGTGTCGCAAGAGGGTGTATGACAAGAGGGTGTGTTGCAAGGTTGTGGGGTTGAGCTCCTATCCCTTTGGTTGCTATGCTCACGCTCACGCGTCTTCTGCTATCCTGTGCTGGCTCCAACACAAACAGGGTGAGTCGCTGAAGAAGTACTCTGTGAACTTGAGTGAGATGGCAAAGGACGGCAAGCTGGACCCGGTCATCGGCCGTGACGACGAGATTCGCCGCTGCCTTCAGGTGCACAACATGCCGTCATTGCATGACTGACATTTTATCGCACGTGCACGTCATGAGGAGTCAAGATGACACGGCAAGCGAGCCAGTGACTCTTCTTTGTTTCTGCTGCTGGTGATTTGAAGGGAACCTTGCGCTGTGTGCACAAACGAGCCACAGATGCAACACACACACACACACACACAAACTACAAGTTCCTCACAACACCTCACACACACACACACATCACACACACACACACCTCGCACACACACACACACACACACACACACCTCACACACACACACCTCGCA